TGTGGTACATCTACACAATGGAATACTACGCTGCGGTAAAAAAGAAGGAACTTTTGCCTTTTGCAACAGCATGGATGGAACTGGAGAGCATTATGCTAAGTGAAATAAGCCAGTCAGAGAAAGATAAATACCTCATGATTTCACTCATTTGTGGAACATAGAGAACAACATAGACTGATGAACAGGGACAGATCCAAAGACAGAGAAACAGCGATCAGACTATTAATACCCAGAGGGAAAGTACGGGAGAGAGGGATCAAGGGGAAGAGATCAACCAAAGGACTTGTATGCATGCATATAAGCCAAACCAATGGACATGGACAACAGGGGATGAGAGCATGAGTGGAGGCAGGGGGAGGATGGGGGTTTAATGGGGGGGATGAGAACACACTTGTAATACCTTAACTAATGAAGAATTTAAAAAAAAAGACTCATAGATCAATGAAACAGAACAGAGAGCCCAGAAATAAACCCATGCACATACAGTCATTAATTTAGGAAGAAGGAGCCAAGAGTATACAATGGGCCAATACCTTATCTTTAGCTCAGAATGTCACATATACCTCATTTCCCCTTTGTCTCTGTACCTCTCATGTATGTATGTGTTACTGGACCACTTCTGTGCTGGGGGCTGGCCCTGCCCCAGCACAATCCAGAACTTTTGAGTGACAGGTGACCTTCAGGTCCTTGACTCATCCAGGAAATATTTGAAGAATGAATCAAAGTGAGAATAAAGCAAGTTTTATTCAGATAAAGACAAAGAAAGAGGCCTGGGCGTGGGTGCCACTGTAGAAAAAAAGTACCCATATGAGCAGACCAACTCGAGAGTGAGTTGTGCAGGTGGTCAGTTAGTTCCTGGAATTTTATGTGTATTCAAGGTGGAAGGGTGGGGGGTGGTCTCCAGGCGCTGTGGCACCAAATTCTGACTCTGCCTTCTGGGTGGGAGGGAGCCTTGTTCCTAACAGGGTTGTTCTGGAAGTGTCATGGAGTTTGTCCCCCTTGGCCACCTTTCTATTTGTGGTGTCAGTTTTCATTGTAATGATGGTATAATGAGCTTTGGGGTCGGTCTTTGGTCAATTTTCTTCCATCTTGGAATGATCTGGTTCTGGTCAGTCCTTGTTGTTGTGACCTCTCACCACTGCAGGGGGTTTCCTGCCATAAACTGTTTTCTCTCTGATCATGCCCAGAAGTGGGGGCTTTGGTTTCTTTCTCTCCTGCCTCATATCCATATCGAAGCCACTGGGACATATATACTTGATAATCAATGTTCCCAGGTATTATTGTAGGTATTCTGGACACTGAGTTGAATAAGATAATAAAACTAGGAGATTAGTTATAAATCCTAGTAGCAAGATACTAGTGTAAATACCTGACATTAAACTTTTGATGCATGAGGCATCTGTTTCAAAGACGTCTATCTCAAAGAATCCTATTGCCAGCTTCATGACAAGGCTACTAGAGAAGCACTCAGGTATCCCCTCCCAAATCAAACTATTCTCTCTCTCTCTCTCTCTCTCTCTCTCTCTCTCTCTCTCTCTCTCCCTCCCTTTTTCTTCCCTTCCCCCATTCTGAGACCTTCTGATGTGGCCCTTAGGATGCTGTGTGTCCTCCAGAACCTGTGAGTAATGAACCTTGTGATTTCATAAATGCCTCATGATTGTTCCAATTTTAATAAGGACCGCAAGAGCCCGTCCAGCCACAACATTGACTGTGGTCTGAGGAACCAGTAGCAGGGCCCCAAGGCCAGTGCCCAGGTATTTTCAGCCTATAGCATTACCATCAATAGGCCGAGACTTATAAGGAACAATGATAAAGTCAACATTATCAGGAAGAGCAGTTAAAGTACTGATGTATAAAGAATGAGAAATAGCCCTGACTGGTTTGGCTCAGTGGATATAGCGTCGTCCTGTGGACTGAAGGGTCCTGGGTTCGATTCTTGTCCAGGGCACATGCCTGGGTTGTGGGCTCAATCCTCAGTAGGGGCCATGCAGGAGGCAGCTGATCAATGATTCTCTCTCATCATTAATGTTTCTTTCTCTCTCTCCCTCTCCCTTCCTCTCTGAAATAAAAATATATTAAAAGATATTTTAATAAAACTATATTTAAAAAAAAGAATGAGAAACATAGAACTTAAAATTGATGTGTCAGATTTTCCTGGAATGAAATTCTATAAATAGTGTGAGTAATCAAGCAATTTTTTTCCAACGGGAATAATACAACTTATGACTATTCTCTCTATAAAATAAGAACAACTTCCTAACAATGATGTGTGTCATTTGAGAATAAATTTACCTTCAGAAATCCATGTTGTCCATGAAATAAACTGGAATTTGCATTCTGATCAAGGTTGGAAACAGCTGTTAGGTTAGAACAAAGGAGAGAGGGAATAACTGTCTGTATAATAGACGTAGCAGAAAGTGTAATAAAATGGTTACTTAAATTGTATAGAGAAGTTGAACTCAAATAAATGGAAATTCCAGGAAATAAATAAAAGAAGCAAGTTGTACAAACATTATCTGATTAAAGGATCTTAATATCTGGTTTTCACTCTTGAAGCCATGAAATCAAGTGCACTTTTTCAGACTCAGCACAGCTGTTTTTTTATAGCTGCCACCCCAAAGAATCTTTTCAGGGCCCCTTTTATGTCTTTGTTCCTGAGACTGTAGATGAAGGGGTTCAGCATGGGTGTGACCACACTGTACAACACTGAGGCTGCTGCACTTGAGTGTGAGCTTTGGGCAGCAGCAGAGCTGAGGTACACTCCTAGGCTTGTTCCATAAAATAAGGAGACAACTGAGAGGTGAGATGCACAGGTAGAAAATGCCTTATACTTCCCCTGAGCTGATGGGATTGCACGTATGGAGGACACTATCTTAGAATATGAGTAAAGTATCCCAGCTAGGGGACCACCACCTAGGAGCACAGCTACAAAATATATCACCATGGTATTAAGAAAGGTGTCAGAACAGGCGAGTTGGACCATCTGATTGAGTTCACAGAAAAAGTGGGGGATTTCCAAGTCTGTACAGAAAGTTAGTCGCAACACCATTAAGCTTTCTAACAAGGAATGCAGGGCACTCATGACCCAGGACACCAGAACCAGCAGTCCACAGAGCCCGGGGTTCATGATGACTGTGTAGTGCAGGGGGTGGCAGATGGCCACAAACCGGTCATAGGCCATCACGGTCAGGAGGAAGTTGTCCAGTCCCCCAAATAATAGGAAAAAACACATCTGTGTGATGCAGCCTTCATAGGTGATGACTTTATTCTGCGTCTGAATGTTCCATAGCATCTTTGGGACGGTGGTGGAGGTGAAACAGATGTCTACCAAGGACAGGTTGGAGAGGAAGAAGTACATGGGTGTGTGGAGGTGGGAGTCTGAACTGACAGCCAGGATGATGAGCAGGTTTCCCAACACAGTGATCAGGTACATGGAGAGGAAAAGCCCAAATGTGAGGGGCTGCAGTTCTGGTTCCTCTGAAAAACCCAGGAGAATAAATCCTGACCCTCCTGTAAGATTCCCTGGTTCCATGAGGTGGGAGTGACTTCCAAGAAAGAAGAAAAGAGCATGAGGACTTTCCACACAATCTAGTGTTACTCACATGGCTCTAATGCTACAGTGTGTCTCTGGCAGTCAAGACATACGTTTCAATATTTTGGTCTGGATTTGGTTCCATCTAGGACTTTCCTGTGTCATTTCAGAATAGCAATTTTTGTCCCAATCTGCTTTTTACCTAAGATGTCAGGTATATTACAGTTTTAATGGGAAATTTTTCATGCATTTCAGGAATATGAATTGAGTGCTGACTATATTTTCAGCACTGTCTGGGCTGTGAGTAGAGGATGCTGAAGAACAAAAGTCCCTACAATTCAATCTGGGGGAAAGAATATAGAAGCAAATAATAGAAATATATAAATACTAGTCAATGGTAAAAGGTGAGAACACCTAGTTTAGATCAGCATTTCTCCAATTTCAATGTTCCCATGAAGTCCCCAGGATTCTGGCTCAAATGCAGAATTCGATGCAGCAGGTCTGGAGGCCTCAGAGGCTCTGCTTTTCTAACGAGCTCCCTGGTGGTGTGATGCTGCAGGTCCTGGCCTGAGGACCACTCTCTGAGTAGAAAGGCTGTGGTTCTGTGTCAGAGTTAGCTGCAGGTAGTTTTAGGTCTTATGATCCAAGTATTGTCTTTGCATGGAGTTTTAAAGGAATAGTTATTCACTCATTCTAGAGGCTATGATTAAATATTTGTTTCCTTTGTATAAGGGCCCTTGAGTGACACAAAATAATACTGAAAAATGATTTGTAGCAGGTAGAATAAGAACCTCTAAAAGATGTCCTCTTCCTAATCCCCAATAGTTTTAAATATGTTATTTTTATAGCAAGGGAAAGTTAGGGTAGCAGTTGGAGCAGCATTGTTAATTAGCTGACTTTATTTATTTTGTTTTTAAAATATATATTTTTATTGGTTTCAGAGCGGAAGGGAGAGGGAGAGAGAGCTAGAAACATCAATGATGAGAGAGAATCACTGATCAGCTGCCTCCTGCATGCCCCCACTTAGGATTCAACTGGCAACCCGGACATGGGCTCTTTTTCTTCTTTTTCTTTAATTCTTTATTGTTTAAAGTATTACATATGTCTCCTTTCCCATCACTGACCTCTCTCCTGCACTCCCACTCTCCAGCACATGCCAGGCAAGTACTCTTGACCGGAATTGAACTGGGACCCTTCACCCTGCAGGCCTGTGCTCTATCCACTGAGCCCAACCAGCTAGGACGCTAATTGGCTGACTTTAAATAGAAGATGAGCCCGGATCATCCATGTGGAACTAAGGTAAACACAATGGTCTCCTAGATGCATAAGGGAGGCAAGATGAAAATGTACACTATTGGTTTTGATGAAGGAGGAAGGGCCCTGAGTCACGGAATGCAGGTGGTCAGCAATGCAAACTGGAATTGGGAAGAAAACAGATTCTCCCCTGAGCCTCTAGAAGGAGCCCAGTCCTGCGCACATCTTGATATGAGACTCATTTCAGGCTTCTGGCACCCAGACCTGTATATATAAACTTTCAACAACGACTGCAGGAATATTTTATAGCAGCAATAGAAATCTCATGGAATAATTGATTCAGCAAAATATGTTGGACGAAACTGAGTTTAATTCTCTCTATTCATTAGGTTCCTTGGTAAGGGCATTTTACTCTGAAAACCCACATGAAGTAAAGAAGAAATTTTAAAACTATTTAGAGATATTCCACCCCCTAAGCGGTGACAGTGATGTCCTCATTATACAGATGTAAACTGTTGTGAACTATGATGCCTTTGTGTCATTAAGACTTAAGGTACAATGTGTGGCCTTAATTTCTCTATCACTGAACTGTAAAAAGTATTGGTTCTCAGCACACTACACTCTTTGGCTGGAAGTTGGTCAATCCTCAATTTATATTCCCCAAGTGCATGGCAGAATTTCTCATTTAAAGTATGGAAAAATGACCACTGCAGGATAAGGGTGAGTGTGGGACAGGAATTTCCACTAACGGTGCAACATAGAAAGTAAAAGAGTACAAAACCCCAAATATATGCAGCCTCATGAGTAATGAAGTAGAACTATTTAGTATTCCTCTTTAGATTTATTAAATATTTTCCGTGTGAATACCAGTGTGAGAGAAGAGACTGCAATGTATGTCTCACTAACTGCTGTTTCAAGCTACTCATATCTACATTCATTAGTCTGAATCTTTTCAAAGAACACAAAGCAATTTCAAATACACCCCATCTTAGAAATTTAATACAAACACTTTCACTTCACTGCATTGTCCTCCACACCCAATACTCTATCTCCTTTTCCCTGAACAGCAAAGCTCCTCCATACGTTTTCATTTCACCTGAGCCATTTTATGCATCTCACTCATTCTACTGTGTCATCAAACTGGACTCCCATTCCCACCACCCAATTGTCAACTGTGGGCCATACATTGCAAAGTCAAAGAGATACATACATATTAGCATATTAAGTAAATTGAGTATAAGTTAGTACTTAATTAACCAAGAATACAAACAGAGATATAGGGTCTCTGGGATAGACTAGGGTCACAGTGACTCAGAGAAAAGCTGACATGTTCCATCCCCTCTGACCCTCTCCTGATGTACCTACTGGCCTCCCAGACTCACCTGGATGGGTCTCTGAGAGGAAGGTCTCCGTGTGGAAGTCTGAATGGCTCCCTGAATGGTTGATGATGAGACTGAAGCTCTGCCCCACATGAGACAGCAGGAAGGAGTGAAGCATCAGTCCCTGAGCCAACTCAGGAATCAAAAGCAGCAACCATGTCCTGTCCCCCAGCATTGTACAAGCCGAGGATGGAACAGGGGAGATATTTACAGTTTTCTCTATACCTGCTCATCAGGCACATTTCCCTTGTGTTATTTCAACTTCTAAGCACATGATTTCCCTGTGGACCTCTGGAATAAACAGAAAGAAATTTTTCCTAATGATTCTCTGATCCCAAGAGACCAGGTTAAAAATCAAGTGAGTTCAGTGTTTATGATGCCTTGTCTTGATCTTACTTGCTTTCCAGAGATCTAGCCTCTTACTACCTTATTCCAACACTGATTGAACGTTTTCTTCAATGTCTGAGATTATGGAACCCATCAGGCCGGGTCCCTGTGATCCTCAAGCACTGATCTGTGGTGGGGACACAGCCCTGATGTCTCTAGCGAATTGCTACTCTCCTCTCCAACAAAAGGACTGTGTTCCTTTTATGTGGAATCCTGGGCTTCACACTCATTGGCTTCCTGACACATCTGTCAAAATAATAAGGAATTTTGTACTTATTTCACAAGTGAAGAGCTGTCATTTAGTACCTCATTATAAAATATTTGTTAAGTATGAGATACATTTTGAAAGTTTTATGCCATATATTCTGAGCTTAGTACTTTATAGTCTTTGCCTGATTTAATTTTTCAAAATACCCATTCTATTATGAATTTCATCCCCCTTTGCAGAAATTGAGTTTGAAGGAGTTTATTGATTTGCTCAAAGTTATGAGCTAATCAAGGGATGGGCCTTGATTGGAATCTGTCAAGTTGCTTCCAATTTTCAAACTCTGGGTCAGTGGTTCTCTCTCTACCTGAGATGATTTTGCCCCTGGAAATATTGGCAATGTCTTGGAGGAAGGCTGCTGAACACCCATAATACCCAACACCAATAATTATCCTGCCCTACTTCCCAACATGAGAAGGTGAGAAAATCTAGTCTAGACCAGCACTTCTCCAACCTCAATGTGCATTTAAGTCACCAGGATTATAGTTTGAATGCAGGTCTTGGTGGGCCAGAGATTCTTTGAATCAAACAAGCTACCAAGTGGTGTTGATGCTGTAGGTGCTGGTCTGTGGCCCACACTTTGATTAAAAAGGTGTGGCTGTGTTAGAGTCAGGTGTAGATTGTTCTAGGTTTTTAGAACCAAAGGTCATTGCATGTAATTTTGAATGTATAGTCTATCCACTCATTCTAGAAGCTGTTATAAATTCATTGTTCAATTATTTTTTTATAAGGATTTATAAATGACATCATATGATATTCTTCTGAAAAATACCTTTTTTGTTTTTTTATATAAGGGCCCTTGTGTGACACCATGGAATACATTATTGAAAAGATTTTCACAGTAGGCCGAGCTTCCAAAGATATCCACATCATAATCCCCAGAGACTTATAATATGTTATTTTTCATTGCAAGATAGGATTAGAGTAGCAGATTGAATAGTTGGGCTAATCAGCTGACTTTAAGATAAGATTGGCCTTAATACTGTAGGTGGGACTAATGAAATCATGGTGGTTCTAACATTTGGAAGAGGAAGGAAGGATTGTTGGCATCAGAGGGAGACTAAAGATGCTACACAGCTGGCTTTAAAGATGGAGAAAAGGCCATGTGGCATGAGAAACTGGAGTAGGAGAGGAAACGGATTCTCCCCTGGAGACTCCAGAAGTAACACGCCCCTACAGACATCTTTTTAAAAAATTACTATTTTATTCTATTTTTTACCTTTTATCTTTATTGTTGAAAGTATTACAGATGTCTGCCTTCCCTTCATCACCCCCCTCCCCCAGCCTTCACCACACTATTGTCTATGTCCATGGATTATGCATATAAGCATATAAGCATATAAGTTCTTTGGTTATTCTCTGCCCTCCCCTCCTCCCCTCTTCCCTGTGAGATCCATCAGTCTGTGCCATGCTTTCATGTCTCTGGTCCTATTGTTTTGGTCGGTTTATTTTGTTCATTAGATTCCACAAATAAGTGAGATCATGTGATACTTGTTTTTCTCTGACTGGCTTATTTCACTTAGCATAATACTCTCCAGGTCCCTTCATGCTGTCTCAAAGGGTAAGAAATCCTTCTTTTTAAAAGCTGCATAGTATTCCACAGCTTTAAAAAAAATCTATTCATCTACTAATGGGCACATGGGCTGTTTCCAGATCTTAACTATTGTAAATAGTCCTGCTATGAACATAGGGGTGCATATATTCTTTCTGATTGGTGTTTCAGGATTCTTAGGATATATTCCTAGACATGGGACCATGAGGTCAAACAGCAGTTTGATCTTTAATTTTTTTAGGAAATTCCATACTGTTTTCCATAGTGGCTGTACCAGTCTGCATTATCACCAGTAGTGTACCAGGATTAGCTTTTTCCCACATCCCTGCCATTACTTGTTGTATGTAAGTGTCATTGAGTTACCACGTGACACCTACCAAATGTATTATTGGCAAATATGTTCTCTCATACAGTGGGTTCCCTCTGCATTTTGAGGATGTTGTGGTTTTGTTTGTTTGTTTTTGCTGTGCAGAAGCTTTTTAGTTTGATGTAGTCCCACTTGTTTATTTTTTTCCTTTGTTTCTCTTGTCCTAGAAGATGTATCTGTGAAAGTTCTGCTATGTGAGATGTCTAAGATTTTGCTGCCTATGTTTTCTTCTCAGATTTCTATGGTTTCACAACTTGCAATTAAGTCTTTTATGCATTTTGAGTTTATTCTTGTGTATGGTGTAAGTTGGTAGTCTAGTTTCATTTTTTTTGCATGTATCTCTCCAATTTTCCCATGACATCTTCAATTTTACATGACATTGTACATAGACAACCTTAAAGCCTCCACCGAACAACTATGAGATTCAATAAATGAATTAGGCAAAGTAGCAGGATACAAAATTAACATCCAGAAATCAGTGTCATTATTATACTCCAATAATGAACTTTAAGAAAGAGAAACTAAAAACAATCCAATTTACACTGCAACAACAACAAAAATAAGGTGCCTAGGAATAAACTTAACTAAGGAGGCAAAAGGTCTGTACTCAGAAAACCATAGGACAGTGCAGAGAGAAATAGAGGAAGATACAAACAAATGGAAGCATATACTGTGTTTATGAATTGGAAAAATTTACATCATTAAAATGTTTATGCTATGCCCTAACTGGTTTGGCTCAGTGGATAGAGTGGCGGCCTACGGACTGAAGGGCCCCAGGTTCAACTCTGGTCAAGAGCATGTACTTTGGTTGCGGGCACATCCCCAGTAGGAGGTGAGCAGGAGGCAGCTGATCAATGTTTCTCTCTCATCGATATTTCTAACTCTCTATCCCTCTTGTTCCCTCTATGTAAAAAATGAATAAAATATATTTTTAAAAAATAAAATGTCCATACTATCCAACACAATCCATAGATTCAAAGCAATTCCTATTACAATACCAAAAGCATATTTCACAGATCTAGAACGAATACTCCAAAAATTTATATAGAACAAAAAAAGACTCTCAATATCCTCAGCAATCTTGAGAAAGAAGAACAAAGTTGGAGTGGTCACAATACCAGATACCAAACTATACTACAAAGCCACTGTAATTGAAATAGCATGGTACTGGCACAAAAAAAGGCATATAGATTAATGGAACAGAACAGAGACCTCAGAAATCAATCCACGTCATTATGGTCAATTAATTTTTGTCAAAGGAGTCAAGAGCATGTAATGCAGCAAGACAGTTTCTTCAATAAATGGATTTGGGAAAATTGGACAGTTACAAAGAAAAAATGAAATTAGACCACCAACTTACATCATACAGAGGAATAAACTAAAAATGGATAAAAGACTTAATTGTAAGCCAAAAAACCATAACCATAAAAATTCTAGAAGAAGACATAGGAAGTAATATCTCAGACATCTCATGTAGCAGTATTTTTGCTGATACATCTCCTAGGGCAAGGGAAACAAAGGAAAAAAATCAACAAATGGGACTGCATCAAACCAAAAAGCTCTGCATAGCCAAGGAAACCATCAACAAGATGAAATGGGAACCAACTGTATGGGAGAACATTTTGCCAATGATCCATCTGGTAAGGGGTTAATTTCCAAAATATATAAAGAACTTATACAGCTCAGCACCAGGAAAAAAATAACCCAATTAAAATTGGGCAAAAGACCTGAGTAGACACTTCTCCAAAGAGAACCCACAGATGGCCAATAAACATATGAAAAAATGCTCAAGGTCACTAATCATCAGAGAGATGCAAATTAAAACTACAATGAGGTATCACTTTGCACCTGCCAGAATGGCCACCATCAACAAATCAACAAACAACAAGTGCTGGCAAGGATGTGGAAAAAAAGGAACACTAGTGCACTTCTGGTTAGAATGCACACTGTTGCAGCGATTGTGGAAAATAGTATGGAATTTCCTCAAAAAAAAAAAAAATCAAACCGCTGTTTGAACCAGAGTTCCTACTTCTGGGAATATAGCCTAAGAATCCCCAAACACCAAATCAGGAAGAATATATGCACCCCTATGTTCATAACAGCATTATCTACAATAGCTAAGGTCTGGAAACAATCCAAGTGCCCATGAGTAAATGAGTGAATGAAAAAGCTGTAGTTTACATTTACACAATGGAATACTAAGTAGATGTGAAAAAGAACTATCTCTTACCCTTTGTGACAGCATGGATGGACCTGGAAATTATGATGCTAAGTGAAATAAGCCAGTCAGAAAAAAATAATATTGCGTTACCTCACTTATATGTGGAATATAATGAGCAAAATAAACTGATTAACAAAATAGGTCCAGAGACATGGATACATGGAACAGACTGACACATGGCAGAGGAAATGGGGTTGGGGGGGGGGGAACAGGAAGGAATTAACCAATATGTACATTTGCATAACACATGGACACCGATAATAATGTGGTAAAGGCCTGGGGTGGGGTGGGTGCTGAGTAGAGGGGGGCAAAGAGGAGAATGGGGAACACCTGTAATACTGTCAACAATAAAAAAGGACAATAGATATCTTCATTAAGGCAAAGATTGACTTTTGTCATGGGAGATTCTAGCCTAGGAGATGACTGCCTGCTACAACCTGCTTTCAGCTAGGAAGTTTTAATTTCAGACCATCTTATGTGGTTGCATTAGGTTTCTGAGTTTTTTTTTTATTTTTATTGATTTTTTACAGAGAGGAAGGGAGAGAGATAGAGAGCCAGAAACATCGATGAGAGAGAAACATCGATCAGCCGCCTCCCGCACATCCCCCACTGGGGACGTGCCCGCAACCCAGGTACATGCCCCCGACCGGAATCGAACCCGGGACCCCTCAGTCCACAGGCCGACGCTCTATCCACTGAGCCAAACCCGTTTCGGCAGGTTTCTGAGTTTTTAAGGCTACTATGCAGCCCTCCCCACCCCCTACCCCCTGAGCTTTTCCGTTTTCGTATGTGGTGCTTTTTCTGTCCACATGACAAAATTTAGAAAAGGAGAAGTATTTTGCTTAGAGCTATGGAGGAGTCATAATTGTAGACAGGACTGGAATTTTCAAGCAGAAAAGAAAATATAATTCAAGGAAAAAATACACTAACCAATCACTGACCCTAATGCAAAAAGCCCCTTGTACATGAACATCAATCTTCCATACTTCGATGAGTACAGCATGAAAAAGCAATACTTTGCATAGTAACAAAATTAGTGCTTAACAATTTTGCTTCCTCATATTGTAACAGATGCAGAGACCACAGTTGTGTTCTCTCTCACCTACCTCCTATCTCTCTTCTTCCTTCTCTTCCCTCTTTCTCTTCCTCCTCCTCATTTTCCTCTTTCCTCCCCCTAACCCCTCTCTCTCCCCATGACCTCCTGTGTGAACTTCAGGCAGGGCGTGTGAGCAGGATTTGTGAACAATGAACCTTGCTTTTACCAGGTTCTCTGAAGGTTGCTGCTTGGGTGCATGCTGCAAGCATAATAAGAACCACAAGGGCTGGTCCAGCTGCAACATTGGCTCAGGTCAGTGTCACAAGAATTCCAGGCCCCCGTGAGTGTCTCAGGCATTTATCATGAACATCTTTTTTATCAATAGGCTGAGACTTAAATGGAACAACATTTAAAATCTACATTATTGGGAAGAGATAGTGATGTAAAAATGAATGAGAGATACAAAGTGAAAACTGGTTTCATCTTTTTCTGTACAATAAAATTAAATAAATGTCCTTAGATGCCACATGTAGTTTTGTCCATATGAGTAATACAACCCTGATTATTTTTTTCAGGAAAACCAGAGGAAAATAGCTTAGCATAATATATGTCACATGAGATGAAATTATTTTAGAGAAATCCAAGTTGTCCCATGAAAGATATGGAAATTTCCAAATATTTCTGATGCAAGGTTGAGAAAAACTTTGAGATTGTATAAAAATGGTAAAAACAGAAAACTGTCTATATATTATACCAAAAGCTTAATAAAGTGAATTACTTACATAGAGAAGTTGAATACAAAAAATGGACATGCCAGGGAATTAAGAGAAGGATCCAGTTCTCTTCCACATGATCAATCACAGTTTCTGGTTTGAAGGTGTTGAGCCATGCAATCAAGGGCACTTTTTCAGCCCCAAAACAATTGTCCCTTTTATACCTGCCATCCCCAAGAAGTTATTCAGAGCCATCTTTATGTCTTTGTTCCTGAGACTGTAGATGAACGGGTTCAGCATAGGTGTGACCACGGTGTACATCACTGAGGTGATTGCACTTGACTGTGAGGTGCGGGTAGGAGCAGAGCTGAGATACACTCCTAGGACTGTACAATAAAATAAGGAGACTACTGAGAGGTGAGAGGCACAGGTAGAAAATGCTTTATACTTCCCCTGAACTGATGACATTCTACATATGGAGGACACTATTTTAGAGTAAGAGTAAAGGATCCCAGCCAGGGGACCACCAGCCAACAGCCCAGTTGTAAAATACATCATTGCGTCATTAAAAAAGGTGTCAGAACAGGCAAGTTTGATCATCTGCTTAATTTCACAGAAAAAGTGGGGAATTTCCAATTCCTCAGGGAAGGACAGTCTTGATATCATTAAGCTATGTAACAAGGAATTCAAAACACTAATGATCCAGGACACCAGAACCAGCAGTCCACAGAGCCGGGGGTTCATGATGATTGTGTAGTGCAGTGGGTGGCAGATGGCCACATACCTGTCATAGGCCATCACAGGTAGAAGGAAGTTGTCCCAACCTCCAAAGAGTGTGAGAAAATACATCTGTGTGATGCAGCCTTCATAGGTGATGACTTTTCTCTGTGTCTGGATGTTCGCCAGCATCTTTGGGACAGTGGTGGAGGTGAAACAGATGTCTACCAAGGACAGGTTGGAGAGGAAGAAGTACATGGGTGTGTGGAGGTGGGAGTCTGAGCTGACGGCCAGGATGATGAGCAGGTTTCCCAACACAGTGATCAGGTACATGGAGAGGAAAAGCCCAAATATGAGGGGCTGCAGTGCTGGTTCTTCTGATAATCCAAGAAGAAGAAATTCTGAACTACTTGTGTCATTACCTGGTCCCATGTGGTAGAGGTGATGACTAAGAATGAAAAAATACTATAATTAATTTTTTATATAAATGGGCGTTACTTACCATTGAAATGCTACAATTTATATTTTGTGATAATGTAATCAGTATATATATATATATAGTACAAATCATACCCTTTAAGGCAGTGGTTCTCAACCTTCCTAATGCCACGACCCTTTAGTACAGTTCCTCATGTTGTGGTGACCCCCAACCATAAAATTATTTTCATTTCTACTTTATAACTGTAATTTTGCTATTGTTATGAATCGTAATGTAAATATCTGATATGTAGGATGTATTTAGGCGACCCCTGTGAAAGGGTCATTCGACCCCTTAAGGGGTCGGGACCCAGAGGTTGAGAACCGCTGCTTTAAGGCATCCCCTGTGACATCTCTGATTTAGGAGTTTAAGTACATTCAGACTATTTTCCCCAAGGAGGTCATGTAGTTCACAGTTTTCATGAGAAATGCTTTCATGTCCCGGAGGAATATATGTTGAGTACTGACCATCTCTAGGAAAAAGGTGTAGGATGCTGACAAGCAAACTCACTAGAATATAATGGTGGTGAAAGAATATATGGAAAATAAATATCATATAATGTTAGATGGTGTCAGGTGACCTAAAAAGAGTAGGTTTAAAAGAGAAAAGATGAGTGTTATTTTTTACTGATAGTTCAGGAAGACCTGCAAACAAGGCAGCATTTGAAAGAGAACTTAAGGAAGTCAGAGTGGGAGACACGAGGTTATTTAGAAAACTGTTTGAGGAAAGAGCCAGAACAAAGGTTCTGAGGATAACATTGGTTTCAGATATTCAAGACATGGGTTATGACTTTGCTCTGTGTCTGGATGTTCACCAGCATCTTTGGGATGGTGGTGGAGGTGACAGAGATGTCTACCAAGGACAGGTTGCAGAGGAAGAAGTACATGGGTGTGTGGAGGTGGGAGTCAGAGCTGACGGCCAGGATGATGAGCAGGTTTCCCAACACAGTGATCAGGTACATGAAGAGGAAAAGCCCAAATATGAGGGGCTGCAGTTCTGTGTCCTCTGAAAAATCCCAGAAAAAGAAATACTGAAATTTGTGTATCATTGCCTATACCAAGTGCTGGTGGTCATGACTAGGAATAAAAAATTGATTTTCACATAAATGGGCATAACTAACATGGTGGAAATGCTACAGGTACAATGCTATGAGGGAACAAAAAGCATGTATGAAAGTGATGTGGTTGTAATTACTGTGAGTCCAGGAAAACCTAAGAACAAGATAACATTTGAACAGGGAGCTCAAGGAAGAGAAAGCAGGAGACATACAGTTTTTTATGAAGCATATGCCCTGCAGGTGAAAGAACCAGTGCAAAGTCCATGAGGGTGACACTTGTTTCAGATATTCAAGGTTCAAAATGGAGCCAGCATGGGGGTGGGGAGGTGTGGGGGAGGATGAGCAAGAGTGGAGCGCTGAGAGATGGTGTCAGAGAATGTGGGCAAATGAGGTGGCCTTTCTGCTGATGTGAAATTTCAAGTCACAGGGAATTCCTTGTCCAAAAGTTGTTCATTGCACTTTATTCATTTTGTTTCTATGTAATATATTTTTAAAAATATATTTCTATTGATTGCAGAGAGGAAGGGAGAGAGAGATAGAAATATCAATGATGAGAAAGAATCATTGATTGGCTGCCTCTTGCATGCCCCCTACTGGGGATCGAGCCTGAGCCACGCTGGCTGGGGTATGTAACTGAATTTTGAATCTTGGATCTGCCACATGTTAGCTGTTTGAATTTGGAGAGACAACCAATCCATTCTAAATGTTAATATTCTCACCCAAATAGAGAGGGCAGCAATGTCCATCTCCCTAATGTGGTCTACATATTTGGTCAATAGCTACAAAAGTTTACCACGGTTCTTTCCTGTTAGTAAATATATGGGTGTCACTGGTGATAAGTCTTGCTGTTTATCTCTGTGTGTACATTTATGTGTATTTGTGTGTTTGCATGTGCACACATGCCTGGTCACAATGGAAAAGGCATATACTATGAGACATGTTAAAAATTGGAATAATGCAGTAAAGGAAAATATCGTTTTAAAAGGATGACAGTTCCTGCAAAGGAGAGGAAAACAATGAGTGAAGAACCCGGCAGAGAGCCAGTTTAGAGAGAAGAAGCAGTCAGTATGGGTGCTGAAGTTACCTAGGGCTCAAGAGACCACACACTGACTGGACCTTTATTGCTCGCTGGCCTCATCATTGCATCCCCTTCACCTCCTGATCTGATTGTTATTCCTGCATCTATTTCATGTTTTCATATGACCCAATAGTGGCTGAGGCTGGCCCTTCTCTTACTTTCCTTTGTGGCATCATTCCTTTGTTGTTCTTGAACTTCAGGATATTCTCTCTTTTGTGACATACCCAATGGTTACACTCTAGACCTTGTTCTGGTCCACAAAGTCCTCCCCAAATCATACTTTATAAAATCCTACACAGGCCAGATAATCTATCCCCTTTCTTCTTATGTTTATAACTGAAGACATTGTGCCATACACACATTTACTTCACTGCACCCGGCCTTCTCCACTTAATGTAAGGTCAAATGAGCAGGGACTTCACCTCCTTTGTTCACTTATGTGTTTTCACAAAGGTGTGCATTTGCATAGAAACAAATTTTAAGAAAAAGAGAATTAATGAAATAAAATATTGGTAGGGAAAATAAACCTATGTTATATATAGTGAGTTCAAATAAAATTGAATAAAAATATAATATGAACAGCTGAAAGAAAATCATAATAATTCATCTATAATTCAAGATGAAATGAGTAAAAGGAGATAAAAGACTAGGAAAATATATTCTTTAAAACACAGTGGAGGAAACAGTATCTAAAGTTATAATTTCATCCTATATAAACATAAATGGACTCATCATACTTATGAAAAGATATAGGTAATCTTCAGTTGAATATAAAAGAATGTTTTTCAAAACATCACAGAAGATGATTGCTATTTCAGAAAATAGTTCTAATCATAAAACAAAAAATGGTAGAAATAACAAAAAGATGTGAAATCAGATGCCACAATGATTCATTACTACTAAGGATGCAGAAGAGCTTTCAATGTTTAAAAGCAATGAGGGAACACAATGTGACCAACGGATAGATTTGAGCATACAAAATGTATAAACCCTCACATAATGTCATAAATGCATCTTTACATACATACCAAAATTGAGTGGAAAAGAGAAAACTTGGTGAAAAAATGTGATTTTTTGAAAGAATGCAATAAAAACCAATAAAAACATTGAGACCCCAATACATAAAAACAAAGTACTTGCACAATGTCATCCCAATAAATTCAATAAAACAAACAAAAAACAATGTGCTTCCAAAGACAATTTGCAATGTAGAAAGTAAATGGCTATAAATTAAAAAATATATCCAGCCTCCCAGGAAATAAAATAATTGGAAAGTAATGCTCCTTATGAGAGATACTGTGAAATGTATGTCTAAAGATCCTGTGTTGCAAGATAGACTCTACCTACATTGGTCTGGATCCTTTTAATAAATACAGAATTTGCTCAAATACACCCCATCTGAAAAAAAATTTAAATGCCCTCACTTCACTGCTTACATATTCACATCTAATACTGTTTTCCGACTCCCCTGAACTTCAAAACTTCCTGTGTATGTTCTGATTTTATTGGAACCACTTTATGGCCCCCATTCCTTCCTCAGTCTTATCCAACTGGACTTCCATTCCCACCATGTAATTGTCAACAATGATCCTTGTATTGTGGAGTCCAATGATCACTTCTCTTTTTAAAATATTAAATGTGTTACTTTTAAACTCACTAGTAAACAAAAATGACCATCTCTGGGCTCTGGGTGAGGCTGGGTAGGCTCTCAGGTGAGCTCAGGTAGAAATTCTCACCTTCCATTCTCTCAGAACCTTTCCTTCAGTACCTACTGGGCTCTCAGACTCACCTGGATGAGGCTCTGAGAAAAAAATTTCTGAGTGGAAGTCCAAATTCCTCTTGACGGTTGATGATGGAGACTGAAGCTCTGTCCCCAGTCAGGTGAGCAGGAAGGAGTGAAGCAATGGTCTCCAACAACTAAGGAATCCAAAGCAACAACCATGTTCTTTCCAGATCAAGGTTGCACATGCAGCAGAGGAGATATTGTCAGCTACCTATACCTGCTCATTAGATACTGTTTCCATTGTTACCTCCCCCTCTGAGTACATCATTTCCCTTAGGGCACTGATCTGGACAGAAAGAACATTTTGTCCTGACGTATTCCCAGTAGACCATATTAGAAGTCAGGTGAATCCAGTCTTAATTTTGTTTTTGCACAAACTCACCTGCCTTCCAGAGTCTAACCTCCTTGCACCTTTTCCCAAATTTATGTTAGTATTCTCTCCAAATCTGAGCCTGAGGAACCTGTCTGGACCTCTAAAATATTGAAAGCTGGAGAGCAGCAGCTCTTTATATCTCTGGAAATTGCTATCCCTCTCTTCCTTGTTCAAGAGACAAGGAAGTTCCTTTGCTATAATACCATGGTACCTTAATCCTTGGCTGCATGATGCTTTTGACAAGTCAGTTAGGAGATTCGTGCTTGTAACACAAATTAAGGGTTGGCATTTCGTGCTTCACTTCAATAATGTTTGTTCGTTATGAGATAATATTCAGATCTTTTTATACACCGTGGACTGAAATTAGGTTCTTATGTGGATTGTCTTATTTCATTTTTATAAGAGTCCATTCTCTGAGGTTGTACTATTATGAACTTCGTTCTACATTTGCAGAAATGGGATTTAGAGGGTGAAGCTATCTGCTCAAAATTATGAACTGAATAAGGGGTGAGCTTTGATTGGAACTCCATGAAGATGTTTCCAGTTCTCTGCTCTAGAGCAGTGGTTGGCAACCAGAGGTCATTTTGCCTCTAGGGAACACCTAGCAAAGTCTGGAAATTTTTTTTTTTTGCTGTTACAACTAGGGAGGTGCTACTGGCGCCT